ATTGATTCAGTGGCTGGGATAATCGGGGTGGGTGTGTCAGAGGCAATGAGATTGGCACAGGATAGAGCAGGGTTTAGGGCTGTTGTACATAGGGTTGCTATGAGTTGCAAACGACTCGACAGCACATAACAACAATTAAATAAAAACAAAACAAAACACAATTTCCTTCCTTCACTTCCTCCAAAGGGATCATACAGTTTCCTATATTTAAAGTCTTTTTCTAATGTATGCATAATATGTTAAACATAGTAACTAAAACTGAATTCTCACTAGGTATCAAGCACTGTTATTCCACATATCTTTAAAAACACTCCTCTCACGTATATACGTGTTTTTAAAGTGCTCAGTGTACATTGAGGCTCAATGTCAAGAAGACAAAGATTCTCACCACTGGACCAGTTGGCAACATCAGGATGGATGGTGAAAAGATTGAGATTGTACACAGCTTTAGTTTGCTTGGCTCCACAGTCAACAGTCTTGGCACCAGCAGCCAGGAAATGAAAAGGCGCATTGCCATGAGAAAATCTGCTGTTAGGGACCTCTCCAAAGTACTGAAGAGCAATGGTGTCTCTCTGGAGACTAAGGTGCGTCTGATACAGGCCATGGTCTTCGCAATCACTTGTTATGCATCAGAGAGTTGGACAATGACCAAAGAGGATAGAAGGAGAATTGATGCCTTCGAGCTGTGGTGCTGGAGAAGAGTACTGAGAATACCATGGACTGCTAGGAAAACAAACAGATTTGTCCTGGAAAGGGTTAAATCGGGTGGCTCCTTGGAGGCAAGGATTCAGAGGCTCCGTCTAACATACTTTGGACATGTTGTGAGGAGAGATCGGTCGTTGGCGAAGGACATCATGCTTGGGAGGGTGGAGAGACAGCGCAGAAGGGGAAGGCCCTCTATAAGGTGGATTGATTCGGTGACTGGGATAATCGGGATGGGAGTGTCGGAGACAGTGCGATTGGCACAGGACAGAGCGGAGTTTAGGGCTGTTGTACATAGGGTCGCTATGAGTCGCAAGAGACCCGACTGCACATAACAACAACAACAACAACAACAACAGTGTACAAAGTAGGGAAACAGAAGTTGTATGACGTGCCCAAATTCACACAAGTGGTGGAAGTGCGAAGTCCTGACTTCAAAACCAAAACACAATGAAGTCACTGCTCACTTCAACTGTGGCGCACACAGTGGTTTGGACAGCCTCTATCCAACTTTAATCACGTCAAGATTGCATTTGCTCTCCGTAGACCATCTCTCCAAACATTAATTCCAATCAGCCCCCTTACCCATCTTTAGCTGGTTTCTTAGGGCAGATGGGGGTGGGAAGATGTCGAGAGCAGTCCCTCACTTTCGTTTTCTGCTTCTCCCGAGGAAGATGCATACAGGGAGAAGAGATTCAAACGTTAGCAACTTCTCTCTCAGTATTAAAGAATTAAAGTATTAAACTCGGGATCTAACAAGTCCTCGCAGTCGATGGGTTTGGGAGAAGCCGGTAATTCATGTGGTGTCAGCACTTACCTTAACTGCCACCTCCGGAGCCGAGTCCACCGCCACTGCCAAAGAAGGTCTGGACGAAGGCGATTTAGTCAAGTGCATGAGGGAATCCGCGGCTGGCATCGAACATCGTCCGCCCTCACTGTCGGAGTCTGATTCGGACCCTGAACCCGAACCATAGGAAGCAGCCAAAGCTGCAATAGCAGCCGACATGACTACAACAGAATCTCTGCCGAGACCAGGCCCCGGCGGAAGTGGTTCTTAGGTCCTGACAGATTATCTTGGAACGATTTATTTACCTATCTTTTTCTAAGAAATAATCTATAGCACTTTATAAAAGAACTACCTAATTATTAGCAAAATAATTACAACTTAGACAAGAATTTGGAAGCACTTATCTGGAGAAACAGAGACATAAAATTACGTATTGCTTTAAAGACCTAGTGAAAGTAATCAGAGACTACAAGTTCGGAAATACTTTGAGGCGCGTAGGTCTTAACTCCCGGCGTACAGCGCGAGTGGTAGCGTAATCAGGTACAATGGGAAGTGTAGTTTGGACCTGGGAGGCGGAGCTAATTTTTACTCCGCCCCTGAGTACATGGTTCATTCAATTGGCTATCATCTTCCCTCATTCCCTAGCCAAGCGCTGTTCTCTCCGTGCCCCTCCCCCAAACTGAGGATTGGGCAATACCATACAGTCGCAGGAAAGAGGGGTCTAGAGATCTTTAGCACCTCTGATAGGTGAGTGGGTGGAGGCTGAGTTTCCCACAAAGGCTACACCTGAGTACTGGAGAGTAAAGAGGACTATGAAAGCCTTAAATTCAAAGACCATTACTGACCAGGAATAGTTCCTTGAGGGAAGGACTGGAGGGTAGGTGGATAGAGTCCAGCGATTCCCCCTGCTTTTGATGCGGGTCCCCTTGCCCGGTTGTGGCGCGTCGCTCGCGGGGAGGGGGCGGGTGGGGGGCGGCGGCGGCGGTTCGCTGTGTTGTTCGCTGGCGCGACGAGCACACCGTGAGTCCGGCGACCGGCGGACGCCGCAGGCGGCTGTCCCCGTGCCTTGTCGCCTTGGCCACTGTCGGAGAGAGCTCCACCCCGGAGCCCGACGCTCCTGCGGGCTCTAGGTGCAGTCAGGGGAGCTGAGAGGGATCGGCGGCCACCGTCGAAGCATGAAGAAGTGGTAAGCAAGAGCCCACCTAAGATTTTACGGTGAGCGCGTGTCTCCTAGGAATTGCCTTTTTTTGAGGGTGGGGATGCTAGTAGAGCAAGGGCTCTTCACTGGCCCGACCAGAAGGAGGTGTGTGTGTTTGGATCTCTAGCCCCGCAAAGGTTAAGGGGATGGGCGCGCCTCCCCCCTCCCCCGCGATGGTCCCCACCCCCATTCGTGGGCTCCTGCCGCCCACCCACCATCCCCGATAGGTACAGAGGGAGACAGCCGCGGGCGCACCCGGGTCTGGGTTGCAGGGGCCGCTCTGGGGCTGCTCTCGGCGAGAAGACTGCGGGTCTCACCTGCGGTGCCATTGCCAGAGCTCACTTGCCCACCCGGACCCACAAGTCGGCCCCCGTGCCTCCTCGCTTTGAGGGAGGCTGCAGCACCGGATTGGGGAGAAGCCCCTGCTGGCTCTCGTGCCCCGAGCTCTTTAAACCGTGCTTGTGCGTGTGCGTTTGCACCGCGCGTGTGTGTCTAAAGATACAAGGGTAAAGCGAATGTGGGTAATCTTTTATTCGTTTGCAAGAGAGGACGCCGGGCAGGCGCCTCTGATGCCTATTATTGGGGGGTGCTTTAGGACAGAGTTAAGGGGCTGCACGCACAGCTCCGATGTCGGCCGGACTCGCCCATTGTGCCACCCAGATAATTATTCAACTATGCAGCATCCATTGCACCTTTCCCATTTTTCTTTTCCCCTTGCTACAGCATGCCCCCTAGCTTCAGCACTCTGACGCCTTCACTTGCACTTGCCTTTGATAAACTGAATTAATGATGAAAATACATCTGATGTGAACATTCACGATCTGCGCTGTAACCAGTTAATTAATCCCTAACTACACTAGGTACTTATTCACGACCGAGTTGAAATCCTATTTTTTTTCTATTAAGATGTGCACTGGATTATACTTTTAATATTTCCCCCCTTGGTGTTAGAGTCACGTGCTAGTTAAGTCTTATTTCTGTTAAGCAGTTGGTTTATTGGCTATTCAATATGTCTTAGTTAATGTACTTAATTTGCATGTTAAGTACCTTCCATTTTCTAATTGCTAAAAGTACTATATTTATCATAATTACAAATGCAGTATTTATGAACACATGAACTCTTAAGAACAGCTTTGCTGTGTGCTCTTAAGTTTCTTTGGGGGAAAGTATTTAGGTCAGATTTTTTGATAAAAATTATGATTTAAAATTTCTCAAACTTTGATTAAGAAAAGTTGGGGGTCTCCCCCCATTTGATTCTGATAGCCTCCAGTGAAATGAAAGGGAGCGCTTACTATTTAAGATGGGATTTTAACTGCCATATTGAAAATTTACTCTTATTTTTTTATTCTATTTAATTTTTCACATTATCATACATTTAACTGCCCTAATTTTTTTTCTCACTTTTAAAAAATTTCTACCTGAAGGGGGTAGGTAGACTCCATTTTTGTGAGACCTACCTGAAAGAGGAAATATTTGTTTAAACTATAAGAAACAGCTGTTGGTTACTTAATTATTGTGCTGAGAAACGTATATATGCTGTTATTTAAAAATAAGTTTTGCTCACTGCCTGAAAGTGTTTCCATTTATTTGTAATTTTCATTTTCTAGCTTTCATAATTTAAGCTTCTAGAATTAGCTGTTAAACCTTTTGATAAAATGAAATAGTACATAGATATTGCAGAGACGGTGATTGTTTTATCGCTCTTGAAAGTGGCTCACATATAACTTGATGATTTAAGATCAGGTACTTGGCTTGAAAATGACCTTGCAGTTTATAAAATGGACATCTTTGTGACGTGGTTTCCTTATATCTAAGTGAAGATAATACTAATTTGCATCACTAGATAGTATGAATAAATTTAGTAAAGATGTTTTCATACTGCTTTTAAAATATACTTGAAATTTAAGTCAGTGAATAATGAAAATAGTTCAGTATAAACTACAATGAAAAAATGTCATCTTAATTTTCCTTGGCAAATTGGAATGCCTCATTTGCATTTAATTTTACTTTGGACAGGAATCGCTTTAAACTGAATGAAGTCTCTCATGCATCAAGAGTTTTTAATATTTGTAGATTTACTGATATGTAAGTAATTAGTTAATATTGATGAAAACTTATATGAAATGGTAATGAAATAAATTTAAGTTTGTGAAAGATAGATAAGCTTCTCAGAAAACAGTAAGGCATTTTTCTTTGAAACATTTTCAAGTTACACAATCCAGATTACAGTTGTGATCATTTGTAAGGTATAACATGGAGCTACTATTTTTACTCTAGAGATTTGCAAAAAGCCTAGTGTAAAAAGGTAATCTGTAATTCTATGGTTTTCTTTATTATAGGAATATTGTATATCTTTTTTCCTTAATTTATCCTTTTTTCATTTTTGTTTTCATTAATATAGCAAGATAGTAGCTTTGGATTTCTTTATGGGAGAATTTAACTCAATTAAGTTTTCATAGCAAAAACTACTATTCAGACATTAATAGGACTTTTATTGACACAATGGTTTTGATTATTTTGTGGAAAACTTTCATCTAAAGAAAACAATTAAAGTGTATGCTAAAAATTAGTGTTCTGTGAATCTTTTGGTGAATGAATCAGATGACAGCTTATAGTAATTTTTTACTTTACCAATTAAAATTCAGCTGTCATTATTACGTGGATAAATGAAGTTAACTAACATAGTTCTTCTAATTTTCTTTGAACACTGATTTGACAGAAACTGATTTGATATGTCTTGAGTCCCTACCCAGCATAGTGTTTTGAAAATAGTAGGGCCTCCATTCAACTAAAATGAGTAAATGAATTGGATCAATCAGTAATCAATAGACTGAGTAGAATTTTTTAAGAAAACTTTTAAAATACTTAAAATTTAAAAATTTATGTATCTGCTTAGAGATAAATGTTATTAAATGTAGGATTTTTTTTCATATTAGGTTTATCATACAAAGTTTAGGTAACATCATACAGATTTATTTCAGAGAAAAGAGAATGGGGAAACGTATTTAGGGTTCTTTGCACTTCCTTTACCTCTTCAGATATAATTAGTAATTCCTGTGCCCACACATTTTTTAAAATAGCACTAGATACTGAATAATGTATAAGTTGGCAACTTCTCCCTTGTGAAATGATATTAACAATTTTATTCTCATCTCGTATCTTGCTTCAAGAAAAATTTACATTTTTTTTGCTAAATTACGTTAATGTAGAAATTTAATTCTTTTTCACTTGCCTCATTTCCAAGACAATGTTAGTAAAATTATATATGATAACTAGATCTTAAATGTCTGAGTTGTCACTGGCTGCTGTTGAGTTGGCCCCCTATCTGATGCATATGGTCCTCATTGGCTGATGCTTGAAAGTAGATCACCAGGCCTTTCAACCCAGTCTGTCTTATTTTGGAAGCTCTACAAACCTCCAATGACTGACTGAGCAGCAATTAGGAATGGGATGCAGTAGCAGGGAATCAAAAGTGTCTTTCGCATGAAAAGTAAAATTCTACTAAACTATAACTGCCCTTAAATGTTTGAATATGTAATTTAAATCTAATTTTCATATTTGTTTTCTTAGAAATAATGGGCATGTTGTTGTTATGTGCCATTGAGTCGTTTGCGACTCATAGCGACCCTATGTACAACAGCCCTAAACCCTGCTCTATTCTGTGCCAATCACATTGCCTCTGGCACACCCATTCCGATTACCCCAGTCACTGAATCAATCCACCTCATAGAGGGTCTTCCCCTCCTGCGCTGTCCCTCCATCCTACCAAGCATGATGTCCCTCTCCAAGGACCTGTCTCTCCTTACAACATGTCCAAAGTATGTCAGACGAAGCCCCAGAATCCTTGCCTTCAAGGAGTAGCCTGGTTTAACCCTCTCTAGGATGAATCTGTTTGTTTTCTTGGCAGTCCATGGTACATTCAATACTCTTCTCCAGCACCACAGCTCAAAGGCATCAGTTCTTCTTCTATCCTCCCTAGTCGTTGTCCAACTCTCTGATGCATAACAAGTGATTGCGAAGA